CAGATGTTAAAACTATGGTATAACCACAAAATACTACACAGCTAAAAAAGAGAATGTGGGTGTTAGCACTTATGTATAATGGAAGAGATCTAAAGTACATTATTGAATTTGAAAAGAGCACCATACGTAATAATGATAAAAATATAAAGGTATATATTAGTTTTTGTTTGTACATGCATAAAGAAACCTTAGAAATATGTATATAAAAAATGAAGCAAAGTACTTATCTAATGGTGTGAGGGAAAGGTCAGGAAATTGAACAAAAGTTGAAGTGAAATTTTTCCATTTATATTATCTTGTGTTATTCTTCTCTTAAATCATGTATGTTCCTCTTTCATATATTCAAAATAAGTTTTCAAACACTCTTGATTGATAGTTACCAAATAGAATGGAAATGTTATAGATTCAGACAATATTTAAACCCAGCCATTTAACTATTGAAATTTGCACTGGGAGAGAAGGTGCTTGGAAAGGAATCTGTTTTTGCTCATCTTCACAAACAGTATCAATGGACAGTGTCTCAACTGAAAACACACACAGTTTAGAAAACAATTAATGCCTTCTTCAATTCATAACCTCTTCCTGTATTTCCTAATCTTTTAGTGTATTTCATAACCACTTAATGTATGCTTTATCTCTTTTTGAACAGTGGAGAATTTCTAATGAAACAGTATTTCCTAGAGCAAAGAAATATTTATTTGAAATATAGTAATTCAGCCTGCTAATTTTTAGTCTTCCCCTTCTGTTAAATTCAAGTAAAATTAAATTATCAATTTTCATAAATAACATGTATGATTCTATTTTAATAAAAGTTTTCTATTTCTTTTTCTATCCATGTATCATTATAGGTGTAAAGAAATATGCCTGAACAGATATTTGTTGTATAAGCAATGATAATTTCCAAGTGAATTTTTTTAGAGTGGTTGATTTTTCACTGATTCATTTGTGTTTTTAAAAAATTAATGATTTACAGTAAATATATATTCTTTTTAAAATAGGGTAATTTTTATCTTTAAGCTTGCACATGAGTATATGCACTCACATTCATACAGAGAGGAAGCAATTGGCTCAAAAAGATTAATTAGAGTGGTAGAAATATGATGATTGGACTAATTGTGCTTTGTGCACATTTTTCTGCATTTTAAAAACATTTATACAATATTTAATTAAATAGTATAGATATATAAGATATACGGGAAGCTCTGGTGGTTTAGTACTTAGTCGTGCTGCTAACACAAACTTCACACCTCTCTGGTGGTTTGAATCCATCAGTGACTCCAAGGGAGAAAGACAGACAATCGTCTTCTGTGTGATTTACAGCTTCAGAAAAACCACTGGAGGGTCAGCGATAAGTAAGTTCCAATTCAACATCAGTAAGTTTGAGTTTATGTGTCTGTGTGTATATGAGAGAGATGAGGATGGTACAAGATAGGACAAGGTTACGGTTCTACAGGTTAAGGTTAAGGTTGTCTACAGGGTTGCTATGCTCAACTTGACTCATAGTCAAAGTCAACAGCACATAAGAACAATAACAACAACATGTATCTCAAAAGTATCATGCACTTTAGAAATATTTGTAATAAAAAAGCAATATTTCCTTTAAAAGACAAAGTGTTTTTAGAAACAGTAGAGAAATTATAATTACAAATTTTAAATTTATATATACATTTATTTATTAAATTTCATTATAAACTTTTTATAATTATAACTTCTTCTCATAGCTACTACCATAATTGTATTGTTGTTATATGAACCAGCTCATAGCTGGGTTTTCCCTCCAGTGGATTTTCACAGGCAATAAATTGCATGAGAAGAGATTGTCTATCTTTCTCCTTAGGACCAGTCATCTACCTTTGGGTTGGCAGCTCAACTCCTTACCACCCAACTACCAGAGCTTCCTATTATTATATCAATTATATCAATCATATCAATCATATCATATCGTATCATATCATATTATTGTTATGTGCCATTGTGTCTACTATGACTCATAGCAACCCTATGCACAGTAAATCTGAACCCTATCCTCTCTTGAGCTAATCTCATTGTCTCTGATACACCTGACCCCATTGCCACAATCACTATGTCAAGCCATCTTATCCAGGGTCTTCTTCTATTTTGCTGACCCTCCACCCTTCAAGCATGATGTCCTTCCCCCAGGACTGGTCCCTCCTGGCAACAGGGCCAGTTGGAGCATTTTAGTTAGAAGTATGTATAATCCTGGAAGGCCAGGATGCCAGAACCAAACCCATTACCCTCTATTTGACTGACTCTGGCTCTGACTCATAGTAACCTCTGGCTTTCTGTGACTGTAAATCTTTACACGAGCAGATGGCCCCATCCTTCTTGCCGAGAAGCTGGAGGATTCGAATTGGCCACCCTTCAATTAGTAGCCCAGTGCATCAAGTTCTGAACCACCACTGCTCCTTCTTTTGTGTGTGAACTTATATTTTCTTTCTCATCAGTTTTATATTTCCTCCTATGGCAGATAAGAATTTAACAATCTTTCTTGCCAGAACTGGAGGTTTTTTTAAATAGATAGCCAGGCCATGCTCCTGAGGCTCCATGAGGTTCCTCTGGGTGAACTAGAATCTCCAATTAGGAACTGAGCACATTTGCACCACTCAGGTTCTCACACCGCACCCATTTTATACTTAGGTCACTCTGTTCATTTAGATTAATACCTATCCATTGCCAATGTGCATGTCCCAGCTCCCAGCAACCCAAAAGGTCTAGAAAAAAATCCGACTGCCTCTGACGGTTTCCAAGGCTGTAAATCTTGATAGAAGCCACATCTGTCTTCCACAGAGAAGCTGTTGAGTTCCAGTTGCTCACCTCTCAGTTAACAGGTGAATGTAACCACTGTACCACTGAGGCTTCTTTAAATCAGTCAAGTATGCTTTACTATAATTAGGTAAATTTTGCTAGTACCAAACCAAATAGTGGACTGCAAGCATTTCTTTTCTTATACAGTATTTCCCCCTTTCCTCCTACTGTCTCCAATTGCCAGTTCCTCTCTCTGGATCCTTCCTAATAGTTTTTACTTGGATTTTGAATCACAGAATTGGTTAAAAGTGGTTTAAAACACAGTCTTAAATTGGTTCATGCAAGGAACTTATGATATGTCTTCCTGACTTTTCATGAGCAACGCATACATTTATTTGCACTTCCCCTCCCTACACCTTCTGCCTCTCCATAACCCTGGGTATTCTACCAAGTTCTATCAAGGTTAACCCAGGCATCTCCGTCCTTTTACAGTCATGATTTACTGGTTCATGGTCCAATGAATTACTTTTTTTTTCTTTTTAGGGTTTTTTAAAAGTTTTACATTGGTTGATTACATTTTAAATTAATGCCTCTACTGTAATAAAAGGGAGCTCTGGTGGCACAGTCTCTAGGGAGGTGTGCTGCTAACCCAAAGGCCACTCAGTTCAAATCCATCAGCGGCTCCCGGAGAGAAAAATGGACAGTCTCCACCCTTGTGATTTACAACTTCAGAACCTCAGTGGATGATCAGCCCAGAGCAGTGTCTGACTGCACCGCAGTTAGTGAGTGGGTGAATGTAGCGAGAAAAGAGCGCTGATGGCTTTGTATGCACCATGTCAGGCTGCTAATCAGGAGATTACTGGTTCATATCCACCAGCCATGCCATGAGAGAAAGATAGGCAGTCTCCTCTCATCAAAAAATCTTTGAAAACCCCATGGAGATTCGCCATGAGCCAGAATTTACTCAATGACAATGGGTTTGGGGAACTCTGGTGGTTTAGTGGTAAGGAACTGTGCTTGTGAACCCAAAGGTATATGGTTTGAATCTACCAGCTGCTCCAGAGGAGAAAGAAGGACAGTCTGTTCCTATGTGATTTCCTGCCTCTGAAAACCCACTGGAGGGTCAGCTATGATTCCTTTCTGACTTGATAGTACTCAAGAACAACAATGAAGGAAAAGAGTTTGACAACTTTACAAACTCTCACTTTCAAGGCCTAATAAACGATTGAGTGTATTGATATCCTTAGCTCACTAAAAGCAATAAAAGAAAACGTTAGGAGTGGCAAAAGTGTAATACGAATAACTATCACGTGTTTTCAAGAAATGGTATGTAATCTGGTGTCTCCAGTGGTCTAGTCATTGTGGGCACGCCACTCTCTACAGGAAGCAGGTCTGCAACGAACCAGGAAGAACACTGACTAGACATCTGATAAATGAATAGGAGCTCTGGTGGCACCTTAGCCTTTAAGAAGCTCATAGTGTGTTATGTGTCGTGGTAACAAAAGTTTGTCAGTTCAAATCCATCAACTGTCTTTCAATCTAAAGAGAGACAGTCTTCTCATATAGAGATTTACAGCCCTGAAAACCTTATGTTGTTATTGTTATGTGCCATTGAGTCATAACAGACTTCTAACTGACCCGCCACCAAGTTTTCAGAGGCTATAAATCATATGGGAGGAGACTGCCCATGTCTCTCTCTCTTGGAGCAGCTGATATATTTGAACCAGCTGCCTTTGGGTTGGCAGGGCAACTCCCTACCCATTAGACCAACCACCACAGCTCCTTTGGGAAACCCAGTGGAGGGTTGATATTAGTCAGAATCAGCTTGATAGCAGTTGAGTTTTGGTTTTGGTGTATTAGATGGTATGTATACTTGAAGAAGTCTCTGGACTGCCAGTTGAAAAGTTTGTAATTCGGATCAACTCTAAGGTGTCTTGGAAGTAAAGCCTGGTGATTTTATGAATGGTAATGACCTTAAAAACCACTTGAAGGGCAGTTCTACTCTGACATGCCAGCTATATATATGTTCCAGGAGAAAACAATACCTGGATAAAATTATCTTTTAAAATCTCCTCTTATTTGCTTGCTTGAAAAATGAAAACGCACTCAGCTGGCTCTTGGCAGAACTGACACTCAAACCCTGATTTGCTTGACTCCAGAGCTCATGCTCTTGCCAGGCTTGCCTGCATGCAGGAGCGCCCTGCCTGCTGTAACCGTCCTGTTTTCTCTCCTAGTGGACGAGTGTTCATCTGACTACACAGTGGTGCTTCCGGTGATAGGCGCGGTGGTGCTGGGCCTCTGTGCTCTGGGATTGATCGTCTATGGAATCCGCCGCGGGGGAGGGCGTGGAGCAGCCGGCTACCAGCGCATCTGACTAGTGCCCAGGGAAAAAGAAAACCCTGGAGCACAGGGAATTCTTTAATTATTCCCAGGTGTCCGGGACTTCCCTCCCACCGGGGTTTCCTCCAACCCCGAGAACCATTCTCCACAAAAGCCAGCAGCACGATCGATTTCAATTCAAGCAGCATATCAGTTTCTAAATACCTTCTGTACATTTTATGAACTAGTAGTTTGCTTAAAGATAATTCTTTCTGGTTTCTTTCAGAAGATTTCATCCACTCAAAGTACCCTAAGTAATATGAAGTATTCTATTCCGTTAGAATAGTGTGCAAAATAACACCTGCTTCCAGATTGTGGGCCAAAATGCTGGTCTCCGTGATGCTATCTGCGTTTGCACTGGAGATTGTGTTTTCCCTTTCTTTGCCGTTTTCTCTCTGAAGTATGTATCGGCTTTCTCTGACAAGCACGCTTTCAATATATTCACTGTTTTATGTGACCTCCATCAGATGGTCCACTTTCAAGGCTTTGGGGTTTTTTTGTTTGTTTTTGTTGTTTTTTTAATACACTGATTTATTTACAAAGTTTGAATACATTGTTTTTCACACAAGATTTCCCTTGGTTTTTTAATATCATCAGAAAGAACACCATACATGACCATATTCATTTATACCTGGTATCTTTATGATTTTCTTTCCTGAGTCACTAACAACTAAGAATCAGGTGACTACAGGTGACAGGTTTTTAGAAACTAAAAAGAAACAGGCCTAGTGGCCTTTATTTACTGAATGCATAGGAAGGTCCATGAGTGATGAAGACGGGCTGCATGCTGTTGGTGACCACAAGCTTGCTGATTGGAGCCCGCCCTGTGGTACCACAGAAGACCCAGACCTGAGGATCCTCATCCGTAGCGATCACAGACATCCCTACTCTACAGTCAGTGAGGACTGTCCAAACGAGCCTCAAAAGAAAGAAATTTTAAAAATAAATAAATAAGAAACAATAGCAACACAGTTAACAGATGATAGGTTAGGCAGTTTATAAATATATACCTCAATTTGCACAACTTATAATTAGTAAACTCAGACTTAAGAGCATCAAGCTACTAAAATGGCACCCAGTTAACAAGTGGCAAAGCCAGTATTCAAACTCATGGCCCTTGACACCAGTGGCACCATGGCCATTGGCCGTGTCACTGAAAACTCCCTGCCACCAAGTCTATTCTGATGCACAGTAACCCGCCAACAGGTGGCAACTATAATTTGCAACAGGAAGAGACTGCTATTTTTCTCCCCAGAAACGGATGGTGGATTCAAACCGCCAGAGACATGAAGCCTCTGGGTTAGCGGTACAGCTCACTATGGACTACGCCACATGATGCTTATAAAGGAGCCCCAAGTGTGCAGTGGTTAGAGCCCGCTGCAAATAGAAAAAGCAGAGATTCACACCACCAGCTGCTCCACAGGAGGAGCTTTGCTCCTGCAAGCTTGGAAACTCTATGGGGCAACGCTATCCTCTAGGGTCACAACAAGGAGGGAAGGACTCAGGGGCAGGGAGTTAGTTAGGGTGGCATTGCAATTAAGCATTTGGCTGCAAACCAAAATATTGGTAGCTTGAATCTCCTCATCAACTCTGTGGGGAGAAGACCGGCGATCTGCTTTCATAAAGATTACAGGCCAGGAAAGCCTGTGGGTCGTTATGTTGTGTCCCATCGAATCACTATGAAACTTAACTCGATGGCACCTAACAGGGACAGTTACCTACAAGGACACTAAATGCTTCTGAAGCCTCACACCAGCACATGCTCTGTTTTCACAGGAGAAATGGATTAGTCCAGAATCATAGCAGATTTGATCCAGCATTCTAGGAGACTAGAGAAGAGGAGGAGATTCTATAGATAGTGACAGTCTCTCTCTGATAAAATTCCCTTTTTCCTTGAAGGAGACTAAGAGCAAATTTATCCTTTTCAAGAGATTATTTAGCTGTTGTTATGGGCCATCAAGTTAGAAACTGAGTCATTGCTGAGCCTCCCAGAGGCTGTAAATTGCATAGGAGGAGACCACTTATCTTTCTCCCCTGGAGCAGCTAGTGGATTTGTATCACCTGCCTTTGGATTGGCAGCACAACTCCTTATCCACGAGTCCACCAGAACTCCCTCTATTGAACTGTAGCTCTAAGAATGAAAGAATGGAGTAAATTTCTCTAGGGTTTTTTTAAAATCCCTTTGAATACAGAGAATCTGTCTTACCTATTACATATTTCCTGTTTTGAATTCAGATCTCCCTCTTGTGGCAAATTGCTTCTGCTGCATTTCCATGTTCACATTTTCTGCTCTAGTTCACTTTATTCTGCAGAGCAGCCTGCCACCAGTTTTATTTCTGCTCATCTTTACAGTCAAACACAGGAATTCAGTCAGGATATTGACAGACAAGGCTTACCCGGACTTCTCGAGGAAATGTCATTAATTTAACTTGGAGCACATGTTAGCTCTCCGAACTTGTCCCCTTATGGTCACTGATCTTGATAAGGTCTTGACTTTATTTTCAATTGAATTTTGAATCATATTAAGTTTTTGTAAGAAAACTTATTTTGGAGACTTAGCTATGTCATTAATGTCTAATAATACTGCTATATGATGTAAAACATTGTGTTAACCATATTTTTAATAATAATGTGCATTCTATTGTTCTCCATTGCTGACATTATTACTAGAAAAGACTCCACATGAGAGAAGCTGAATTACTAGGAACTTTACTATGGCAAACATTAATGTTGGGAACAAAATGAAATCTGTCAACACTTAGTACCCTCTGTCTGAACTCATCACTCGCTTATGTGAATGCTGCCTCAATTTACCCAGCCACAATCAACTGGATAGGCAGAGAGAGATGCTGTTTGGTCAGTTCTGACTCTAAACAACTTTACGTACAGCAAACAAAACATCATCAGGTCATCCTTTAGATTGCAGTCATGTTCAAGTCCATTGTGTGGTGGCCATTGTGCCAACCAGTCTCACCAAAGGTCTCCTGTGTCCTAGCTGACCCTCTGCTTCACCAAATGCAACATCCTCCTTCAGCAATTGATCCACCAGATGACATGTCCAAAGCAAGAGACTTGAATGATGTTCTGTTGTGATCCTAAAGACCTTCATTGGCTAATGTTCACAGGTGGGGATCCAGGTTTCCCTTCCTTACCAGTGTTTGCCTGAAAGCTCTGTGGAAGCCTGCCCACCGTGGGTGCACTCATGAGTAGTTGATGTACTGGTGGCATCGTTTGCAGTGACACAGCAACACAAACCCCTACAGTATGGCAAACTGACATGCAGATGGTTTTTAACCTCAGAACTAAGGACCAATTCTGAGTCAGAATCAACTGGACAGCAGTGGTTTTGGGGATTTTATTCAAAACTTAAAATCATTGGCATCAGTGGAATGGAATCAGCAGGCTCTCAGAGGCTGCACATCACACAGGGGGAGAATGCCTGCCTGCACATCACACACTACTTGTCTTCCTATGGAACAGCTAGTGGATTCAAGCCACCCACCTTTGGTTAGCAATACACCTCCCTAGGTACAACTCCTTAGGCATCAGTTGTTTTGTCCGTTGCCATTGAGTCGAGCATGACTCATAGTGACCCTATGAACAAAAGATCTGAAGCCTTTCCATAACTATTGTCGTTTCTCAGTTTATGATGTTTCCAGAGGCATGTTGTTTAGGAAATGGATGCCACACTTGCTAGCCATTCAGAGTGCCTATTAAATACTGGACAGTTGGTAAGGGTTGAGATGAAAATAATTTTTTTTATTTTTTATTTTTTGTGTGTGTGTAGCGTCAAAACAGATCTGACTGGTACAGGAGGAGATTGTTCCTCCTTCTCCAGCAGAGTATCTGGTGGATTTGAATTATACACCTCTGGGATTGCAGTACACCTTCTTACCACTAGGCCACCAGAACTTGCCGAAAATAATTTTTAAGATCCTGGATTAATCATTTACATCTGCATAATAAGTTACCTCAAAATTTAGCAGGTTAAAGCAACAAGATGTTGTGTTTCAAGACGGATCTGGAAATTACTTTTTAAACTAAGAATCCCATTTTTCCTCAACTTTTCATCTCCGGAATACTAGCACATTTGATCATCTGGCTCAAAATGTCCCATGCCGGTCCATCTCATCTCTGCAATACCTAGTAGGTCAATATTTATGTGCTCCATTTCTTCCTTACCAATATCTAATTTTCCTTCATTCATGGTTCTCACATTCCATGTTCCAATCACTAGTGTCTGCTTACAACTGCTCCTTTTCTTTGTATTTCCATATTTGAAATCTCCGCATCAGTTGCCCTGTTAATCTACGTGTATTCTGTACATATGTGTACATAGGATTTTCAGAGGCTTGCTGTTTGGGAAGTGGATGGCCAATCATTCTTCCTAGTCAGTCTTAATCTGAAAGCTCAGATTTAAAAAAGCATCTGACAGAGAAGCATTTTACAGAAAAAGCAGATGAAAGATATTTTCCCCAATTGTGGAATTAATCATTAGTTTCAGTGTTGTCCCTGCCCTTGGCACAAGTGTCTTGACCCACTTATTTCCTTGCTCCACCATCCACCAGCATCCCCATCCACTTCCACCCACTCCCTTCAACACCTATCTCCCATTGTCCAGCCCTTGATCTGATAGCTTATATCTTAAGCTTTATAGGCTACTGAGGACCTGAAGCACTTGCTGCAGAAGGTCAAGGACTACAACCTTCAATATGGATTGAGGCTCAATATCAGTAAAACAAAGATTATCACCACCAGGCTAATTGGCAGAATCAGGGAAGAGATTGAGATTATTAACAGCTTTAGTTTACTTGGCTTCACAGTCTACACTCTTGGCACCAGCAACCAGGAAATTAAAAGACATATTGTGATGGGAAAGTCTGCTCTTAGGACCTCTCCAGAGTATTGAAGAGCAATGGTGTTACTCTGGAGACTAAGGTGCACTTTATATAGGCCATGGTCTTTGCAATCACTTGCTATGCATCAGAGAGCTGG